TTGCTGGAAATAAAATATGGTTAGCTGACTTTCGGGCCACCCATGTAGACCTTGATTAAGTAATAGGGCCTATACTTGTGAGTGTTTGGGGCTCTAAAAAGCAGGAGGCCCCAAACAAAAGACTAAGTTACTTATACCCAAAACTCCACTGAGTCTATCATATAGGAATCTTTATTTAATTATATAATTATCTTATTAAAGATGATCAGGAGAGGCAGAATGCATCTTATGATCATCAATACGAAATTCCCGAGTTTATGGTAAAATATTTATATAATAAAATCGATAAGATGTAAAAAATAATTGTATTTTTTAATAAAATAAAATTAATATTTTAATTATAATAATTATTTATATAATGATTAATCATGCTGATTGATAATTATTGCCGATAATGTTCAACGAATTTAATTATTTAAATTTCTAAATAAATATTTACAAATTACTTTATATAAAATTAAATATTGATAATTTATAAGGTTTTAAATTAATTAATTTATCAATTATTTATATTTTTTTAAAAAAATCAATAATTGGCAACAATTTTGTAGAGTTTATTGCATTTACTGATGCTATCAAAATTGTAAAAAATAGTTAAAATGTTCTCCGTTAGGCGGAAAATGGCGCTATATACGATCGAATTTAAAGGGAAAAATGTTCAAAAAAAATTGATTATTGTGTGGCTGTTACGTGTTATCTGCAATTTATTGTAATATAAAGAAATACAAGTCGACCCCCCTATAACACTGTTGATAATTCCGTTTTATATGAATTCCATGTTGTACGAGTCACTTAGATTTTACAAATACGTGAGCCATTCACAGCCCGGCACACGTATTTGTAAAATCTAAGTGGCTCGTACAATATGAAATTCATATAAAACGGAATTACCAACAGTGTTATAGGGGGGGTCGACTTGTATNATAATCTAAATTGTTTCAATTATTATACGAAATAGTTATTTGCTCGATTGAAATTTAGCAATAATCAAGTAAAAAAAAAATGATAATTAAATAACTGATAAATTCTAATTAAATATTTACATAAATGTATCGAACGATAAACTTGTATAGTCTGTCTATAGTTAGTTAATTATCGTGTCTATATACGTGCAACTTGTAAATTTTATAGTATTATTACTATTAATATATATTTAATTATCATGTTTCGTATTGCTCTAAGGATAAATGATTGTAACTTGATTAAAATTATATATTTATTTACAATTTTTTTTTTTCAGTTTATGTTTATCAAGGGGTCAAGAGGTGAAGTGTCCAAGTTTTAAGGTTAATTATATATTGTTTGCAGGGCCCTAAAACCTAGAAAGTTAATCTGAAAACTTGGTACAATAGTGAAAGGGTTTAGGAGTTAAAATAAGGGAGGAATGGAGTGTCGAGAGTGACTCGTTATCCAATGGGCAAAAAGGGGTAATTACCTGGAGTTTTGACCAACGTGGGGCCCGAAACTAATCTTTTATAAGAAAATATTTCTCCCAAAAAATTCCCTCGAAGAAAACTATAGTCAAAACTATACTTGAGATCCTTCAAATTTGTTTGGGTTCCATGAATCTATAATGCACCACTGATTGTTGAGGTTTCATGGTAGCATAAGCTACCATGAAACCTCATTCAGAGGTATATAGCCCTAGAAGGAGAAAGGAATGAAGGAGGGGTCAAGAGGTGGGATAAGGAGAGGAGGAGGGAGGGAAGGATTAGGGAATGGTAATGGAAGAGGAGGAGGGGCGTCATTTCTTCCGTAGGGTCCTCGAATGTAAGTATGAAAACTTCGGTTAGAGTTAGTCAAAGGGATTAAGGATTAATTAATAGGGAATAAAATAAAGGCAATAGGAAGACGAGATCGTGGGTTCGCACCTCTCCAACGGGCTGGCCACGTGTTTTAACACCATGGTAGCATAAGCTACCATGAAACCTCAACACTTAGTGGCGCATTAACAGAGGCCTTTATACTTTATTCAGGCCTTAATACAGTTGGTAAAAGGGGTGATGTTTTATTCAGAGGTATATAGCCCTAGAAGGAGAAAGGAATGAAGGAGGGGTCAAGAGGTGGGATAAGGAGAGGAGGAGGGAGGGAAGGATTAGGGAATGGTAATGGAAGAGGAGGAGGGGCGTCATTTCTTCCGTAGGGTCCTCGAATGTAAGTATGAAAACTTCGGTTAGAGTTAGTCAAAGGGATTAAGGATTAATTAATAGGGAATAAAATAAAGGCAATAGGAAGACGAGATCGTGGGTTCGCACCTCTCCACGGNAAAACATTGAGATATTGTATACGGAATAATGAATAAATTTGAAGTGTATTTAAAACGGGTAAAAAGGTACATACTGAATGTGATGTATAAGTTAAAATATAATTAGATGTAGAAATAAATCCATGTAGATAATCAAGAAATTGTGAAATCCAACCACCCTGATTGTAACAGACGGAAGGCGAATGCTCATCGAAAAGTTAATGTATGTAAAGTTCTAATAATTGTATAAACATCCCCCTTGTAACAGGCTATTGCCTATTACGTTAATAAACATTCTATTCTATTCTATTTCTAATTGGTTAAAATGATTAATTAGTAAAAAGTTTTCAGAGTCACAGAATTATTAAAACTTAAAACAAGATGTTTCATTAAATAAAATATTCCAGAAATGAAAAGCCTTTCTTAACCAGCAAAAACACAACAATGTAATACAACAAGTTTAATATTAGTTTGTGGCATCATCCATTATGAGATTTTGTTAAAAAACAACTTTTATATTATTAATAATTACAAAACTGCAAATAGTTTAATTTTGAGGGTAGATATGAGTTCTATATAAAATTATTAATACTAATAACGAGTAAAATCTTCATGAAGTCCAACTCCACTTGATTTATGACATGTGATCCCTTTCTATCTTTCCACCCCTAGTGATAGCTTGGTGTCACAAAAATGTTGTTGTCCATAATGGCAGAAAAAGTAAGAAATAGTAATATATTGCTGAAATAGTTAAGAAAAAGTGGCTAAATTTAAAAATAGTGAAAACAGTAATCTGTTTTGAGGCTTGTCTTCATGATTAAATTTAAAATGTTTTTAAATTCTACCAAAAGTGTTTTAAGAGCAAGTTATTACAAATTTTTAACATTAAATATAAAACATACATATTTATTCAAAATTTAATGTTATGTTGAAATAGTTAAGAAAAAGTGGCTAAATTTAAAAATAGTGAAAACAGTAATCTGTTTTGAGGCTTGTCTTCATTATTTAATTTAAAATGTTTTTAAATTATTTATTTATCAGACTTCAAAGCACAATTTAAAAAAAATATATATTGATTTTAATGACCTAGTAGCCATATATCTGACATAAGCAGATCATTAATCAGATGATTGTTTCTAAGATCTTATGTGCTATTGACAGATAATTATATCAATGTCATAGGATACCACGACCATTTCCAAGTAAACAACCACGTGCATCTTGATTAAAAATTTAGTATGAAATTTTTATCAAATAATTTTTCTCACATTCGAGTCAAGTAGAGTTAGAGTTCAGGTCTTCTCCTTGTGAAAATAAATTATCTAAATATTAATCTTTGAAAAAGATTTATGATGAGTAGAAATAAATTCTATTGTGAAATATTTGCAATATATTTTTTAATTATTATATTTTTGCAAGTTTTAAGTTTCAAAAGACTATAATTTTTCAATAATTACATAAAAAAAAAAAAACACAAGATAGAATTTATTGCAGCCTTTAAAGTAAAGACAAGGTACAGCTTTATTTCCATGACGTGTTGTAAATATATATATATAAATACACTTTTTGTTGTCTTAAGCTATAAAACAGAGGCCTTTATACTTTATTCAGGCCTTAATACAGTTGGTAAAAGGGGTGATGCCTTACTTAGAGGTATAGAAGGAGAAAGGAAGGAAGGAGGGGCCAAGAGGTGGGATAAGGAGAGAATGGGAGAGAGGGAAGGATTAGGGAATAGTAATAGAAGGGGGAAGAGGAGGAGGGGCGCCAGCTGGGATTTGTTTATTAAAACATAGAATTACATTAGGCCTTAATACAGAAAGAAAGGCCGTAAGTTGTAGCTTAAGATTAAAAAATGTAATCTCGTTACTTGAGACTCGAAACTGTATGAGGTCTTCAATTGCAGCTTTGTCGCATGAGACTCTAAACCAGTGTTTCCCAACCTTTTTTGTGCTATGCCCCACCTAAACCTTTCTAAAATTCTTATGCCCCCTAACATATACAGCAGCTATACAGTTTTAACTTAAACTCTGGACGAGTCCATTTTCGAATTACCCCCTTAATAATCCAATTGCCCCCTGTGGGGCGTGGACCCCACGTTGGGAAACACTGCCCTAAACTGTAACCTCAGAGTATAAGGCCCTAACTTTAGATTTTAATCCGTAACCTATACTCTGGCTTGTTTAATTTATCTATAAATCCAGTCTCCTTTATACGAATAATTTATATTGTATTTTACATAATTTTTTTACGAATATTTCCAAGATAATTTTTAAGCTTTCCTTTGATACAAATTAATAAAATAAAGCAGGAAATCAATTTTAAAAAATAAAAAATTATATCATTAAGTTAATATACCGAATTCTTCTTTATCTTCTTCATACAATAATACACAAAAATATTTGTTTTTTTTTTATTGTAACATAATGTATTTTCAAAGTATACAAAATATTATTATATAAAAATAATTAAAAAAAATATATTATAAAGGTAAATAGAGAAAATATTTCCAAATTAGTAAGAGATATTTATATAAAATTCTTGCAACATTTAAAAACCATTGCTTAAATATATATGTATTTCCCCCCTTTCTTTTTAATTAAAAAAATTATTAAATTGTATAAAATAAATTTTTATCATTTACTTATTTTTTAAATTTTAATTTGATTAAAATTGATTAAAAAAAACCACACAAATTAAATGATAATTATGGGGAATGTGCATCGTTATTATCAGAATCCGACTCTCCTATTGGATAAGTAATCATGGCGTGATCAATTCAAAACGTATATATATATACTACATTTAACACAACATCGAAGTATTCTGTGAAGAAAAATAGATATTTCAACACATATTTCTCACTTAATTTCAAAGGTAAGCTCATTTTAAAGTCTGTAAAATTATTGTTTTATATTGTAAATTTTAATTAGTAATTCTCTCTCTTTCTCTCTCTCTCTAATTTCAAGAGTATGGAGGAAATAATAACGAAGAGACGTAACAAATTAAATTTAACTAACATCGAAGGATTTTGGTTAACCGGAAGATATCCTCTGAAACATTTTCATCAAGCCGTATCTTTTCAACCGCGAATGGGAGATGTATTCGTCGCTGGTTATCCAAAATCAGGAACCACGTGGACTCAATACATAGTATGGGACATCTTACACTACGGAGCACCTTTACCTTCAGTCAACGAAATTTGGACCAAAGAATTTACTCATTTAGAAATGATAGGAACTGATAATTTAATCGATTTACCATCCCCTCGATTACTTAAAGTCAATATGCCTTTTCATTATACACCCTATCATCCGGATGCAAAGTACATTTACGTCTATAGGAATCCTTGGGATAATTGTGTATCGGGTTTCAACCATTACAGACAAGTAGAGAAGAAGAATTACAGCGATGCAACTTTTGAAGAATTCTTTCAGAGTTTCATGCAAGGTGAAGTATCGCAAGGTGATTACTTCGATCACATTCTTTCTTGGTACGATCAAAAAGATAAACCAAATATATATTTTCTGTCATACGAGAGAATGAAGATGGATCCCGGTAAAGCAATATTAAACATTGCAAGGTTTCTTGGTGAAGAATATTACGAAAATTTAATTAACGATAATCAATTATTCGAGAACATCTTCAGAAATGTACAATTCGATCAAATGAAGAAGAATTGCCCATTATACTTTATAACTTCTCTTAATGATGGAATGAAGAAGAGTAATGAAAAGCTTAATTTCTTTAGTAAAGGTGTAGTGGGTCAATGGAAAGAATATTTTACAGAAGATCAAAAGATAAAAATGCAATTAAAATGTCAAAGAAAATTTAGAGGAACCGAATTATTATCATCTTGGAACGGTTTCGATATCCCTTCTTTAGAATCGAATCTTTCTTCTAATGTAAAATTCTAAATAATTAACGTAATAAATGTCTTCTTAATTCTGTTAATAATTAGATTTAATCTGATGTAAAAAATAAAAAATAAATCTAAATTTCCGCTTTTAAATAATTTAAATATTACTGAATATTTCGAAACAATTTGTTATGAAGATGAAATGTCAATATTGCAATAATCAAAAGTAAAAAGCTTATATATTGATTTAAATACGAGATATTATCACAATTTATTTTTTATTTTCAAATTAATTTCAACATGCAATTGACGATCTGATAGATAATAAATACGCATATATATATTAAGCAATATACATATCTTTTTTTTTTATAATAAACAAATGAGTAATCTCTAAAGTTTTGCGTAAATTCCATTTTATATTTTTGTTATTAATATTTTAAAATAAACTTATCTCTAATCTATTCGTAATTCAAATATATATTGACGTAAGTATGAAAATATTATACCAAGGCCTTTGCGAAGGTCAGAAAGAAATTTGAGGAATCAAGGGCCTCCTTGTTGTCATTGGAATTGAAATATGTAAGAGGCCCTTCAACTTCTTCACTTAACTATGCGAGGTTCTGAGCTTTAACTTCTTTTAGTAGGGCCTCTTTTAGTAGTTACATAAACATTAAGGGCCTCAAAAAGTTAAGTAAATTGTATTATATATATATATATATATATATGTTTTTTTCCCTTATAATAAATGTTTGATATAATATTAATACAAGAAAAAATTCAAATAGTTTTCGTAATCGTGTATACTTTATATAAACTTTATATTATTATTTACTCACATTGAACTTTATAAATTCCTTATGCATTATCTTCGTCTGATAATATTGTTTTTACACAATTTATATTCGTGATTTGATGATTTTTCCTACCGTCGTTACGTGTAATTCAGTATCATTTCTACATCTATGTCATTGGTATTGAACTATTAAAGTTTCTCTTTCTACTTCTCTATTTATAGCTCTCTTCAGTGAATTATAATGATAATGAAGTTAATTTATATGTGTGATGATAATGGGAAAATTATCGAAGGTTATCGCGTGTATAAAGTTATTTCATTCATTGATATCGTCATTTAAAATATTACGCAAAGATGAACTATTGTATATTGATGGCAATTGAGGATACGTTGACCAGAATCATTTTAATTATTTTTCTGAGTTCTAGTCTAATTTTTACTTTCCTGGCTATAAAATTTCATCTATTTTATACAAGATAACATGACAGCAGAGGCGTACAACCACACTTCTGGGCATCTTATCCCGTTTATCTTCTGAAAAGAATGGGACTTGCATACCCCTAAAAAGCCATTAGTTCTTGACTAAGAAAAGGAATCTCCCGACACATGATCAAAACAATGGTGTTGATTACGTACGGGCTCCTGTTTTTCGATATTCAATCGAATCACATGTTTTCATTTATTTTATTCATATACAAGGTGAGTCAAAAGTCGTTTAAGGCCTTGTAAAATGAAATCGAGTTAAACAAGAGAAATTTTGGAATGATAGAAACGTGTTATACTTAGAGACAACCATTTTTATGTGTGTCAACCAGACGGCCGCCATCTTGAATTCTCTTCAAAATGTTTAAATGGGAATAGGATTTCATATAATATCTAGATCGTGATTTATCTTTGACTGATCCAGCCGGAAACTTTTATGACAATTATGTAACTGTCATACGCAATACAGGGTTTCTATGAACATGAATGTCGTTGATTATTTCGTTTGCAATGTCACGTGAATTCCTCTCCCCAGCATCAGTATTATCTACACCTCTTACTCACGCGTTAGATGCTATGCATTATTGTTTATCACATCTGGAAAAAAGAAAAATCTGTGTGTTTATTTACATTACTATTATAACAATTGTTTTATAACTTTCTAACAATTTCATTTACTTAAGAAAAGATAAAAACGTAACTTTATTTAGGATTTAGAGTGTGTAGAAGAATCTGTCAGTGGGATGAACAGTATATGTTGCATGCCATATGAATGTTAAAGATGTAGTAATGAGAAGGTCTCGTAAACATGCGGTTTTATACACATGAGTATTATGCGCGAGATTTTTGTCCTAAGAGCTTTTGTACTGGAATCTTGTATCTGTAGAATGCCTTTAAAATAAACCAGCAACGATGTTTTCGAATGCCGAAAAAGTTGAACAACGAGTTGCTCAACTTTCCCGGCAACGTTTAAAATTTTTGTAGCGCCGTCTATTATCAAATTTTATTAAAAAACTTTTTATATTTTTAACTGTTATAAAATGGCAAAAACCTTAATTTTTAGGGTAGGGATGAGTTTTATATATATATAAATAAAAAAAAAATGTAGATGCTAATAACCAGTAAAATCACTATTAAGTCCGATTCTATTGGAGATACACACGACGTTTATTATCTACCCACTCTCTCGACCTTTAACCACCAAAATTTAATATCATCAATCCACCTAATAAACAAACCTCCGTGTAAAATTTCATAAATATTCGACGAAAAGCACAGGAGTTATTAAGCTTCAAACAGGATGAACAAAATCGTGCCATACACATACACTAACATCCATACATTCAGAAATTGCCCCCCCCCCCGAATTTTGTTGCATTTCTCGACGTTTCAAGGTGTCCTAAGTCAAAAAAATGTAATAATCTAGGGGAAGGGTTTCTCTCTGTACTGTGTATAACACAGTATAACAGTACAAAGCTGCGGAGTCAGTAAAAAAAAGCACTTGACTCCGACTTAAATTCCACAGCCCTGGTATTATGAACTCCTGAACATGAGTCAATAACCAGAAATATATGAGTTTTATCAAAACTTTTCAAAATATTTTATTTTCTGAAAAATACCACAAAAACTCCCCTTAATTGTAAAGAAGTATTTGTTTAATATTCTTTATCTTATCTTTATTCATCCTTATCTTATTTTTTTCTTTATCTGCCTTTTGTTGTTGACTAATTGTGTGGTCCTGATGTACTGAATAACATGAGAAACTTCATACAAATAAACCACTACTTGTTAATTTTCCCATTTAAACCAGTAAAATTTTTCTGGAAATCATATGGCAGGCAAATTTGGAAAACGAAGTGAATCCTTATTCAATTACCTGAGACCCTAATTCATTTACCTGAAAGTCTTCATACCAAGAATTTTGCCAATAGCCAATATTAAACTTGAAAAATTTTTTGTGGAAAACAAAAAGAGAAAGATTCTGGAGTCGGAGTCAATACATTTATCCCGACTCCGATTCCGATTCCTCTGGCCAGAAATTCCTCCCGATAGCCCTGATAAATGGCCAAGAGGATAAAACCATCGAACATTGGTCGTGGACTCACACCTAAGCAATGGGCTGGTTACATGGAGTTTACCGGACTTTCTTAAAGTTTGTAACATGTAAATGAGGATTTTTAAAAACTCTTTTCGTTCTGTGGGTAAAGAGAGGTTTTTTTAGCAAGTCAATTATTGGCTTGGCCAGGCCAACAATGGGGCAGCCGTGTAATGGATAGAGCTTCACATATTTGGACGGATCACTATCAGAAAAATTCCTGGAGATTTTCGACTTTTTCAGATTCGATTCCGAAGTTTCCAGTGCTGTAGCTGTCACTTTTACCGTTTGGCCATCCGGCCCACAATCCTAAATAAAGGCTATTTTCCCATTGATCCTCCCTGGAGGCATTTCCTCTTGGCAGTAGGCCCATTGTTGCGTTGCCGTATCTCTTCAAACCAAACTAACTAGAAAGCCGAGGACGGTCGAGAGAGGCCAAGGTCATTTACCTTTTTAAAGCCTTTAATATATTAAAAACACCATAAAAATTATATTCTTTATTAATAAAATTTAACTGAAAATATAATTTTTCTTTTCTTAAACTAATACACAAGAGACTAATTGAATGATATGTAACAAATGTGTTTGTAACTTCAGTAAGTATAAAACACAAACCAAAAACCCTTGCTGGATTCTCTGTAAAAGGGTCTGAAGTAATACATAAAATTTCTATATTACAAAGCTTTAATAAATTAAAATTTCAGCTACTTTTCATTACCTAGAGTAAGAATAAACAGAAGAATGTCACAAATGATATAATTGACATTCTTCATTTTTAAAGCAAATTAAAATAAATTCAATTGCAGCTTACTAAATGAATGGCAAAAAGGACCGCTGAGAGCTTGTATGGAACCCGAGGTTACAGCGGGACCTGCTTGCCCCTTTTGTCATTTTTATGAACAAATGAAATAAGTTTGAACGTTTCTTTATTAATGAAAAGCGATCGTAAAGATTTTATTTTCAATTGGTAAAAATAGGGATAAAACCACCACGGTCCCTTAAATTTTCTCTGACCAAGAGAAAATCTTCAGTTAACCCTATTGACCTCCCAGATTTCAAAGTTCGAATTTTAATAATGGGGCGATTACCCTTTCAGATAAATTACAGTCGACCCCCTATAACGTGGATTCATATAATGCGGATTCGTATATCGCGGCGAAAAAATTGCGACCGTATTCGTATAAAGACGCTAAAAGAGACTCGTAAAATGAGGTAAAACGTCATCGCCGACTCGTGTCGCGACAGGATTGGTCGAATCTAGACCAATAGTGGACGAGCAGCCGAACTACTTACACGCTACAGAGATTTTAAGTGGGTAAGTTGAGTTTACTATCGTCTGTACAGTATGTAAATTAGGTACTGTAAGTCTAATACAGTACTATAATTTTATACATTTCTTGTGAAAAAAATATTTCTTATTGAATGGCCATAAAAATTATTTCTATTAATGATGTCTCCAAAGTTCAACGAATTTTTCGCAGAAAAATAACTTATCAGAAAACGAGCCCGCCGTTCGGTGCGCTGCTCCGCGACGAAAACAAGCTTAAGCAATGGCGTCTTCGAACGGTGCACACTCGGCAAGTAATCCTAAAATTTTTTGTTTATAGCATAGTTTATACGGATTATTCCCAAAAATTATACGTGTTTTGGAAATGTTCGAGTCAAATTAGCCTATAATCGATTAATTTTATGGAAGAAAACCTTTCAAACAGCCGTAGTCCGTAAACTGCACACGTGCCGGGCTGTGATTGGCTAACATACTTAAAGATTCCTACAACGCGAAATTCTTATAAAGTGGAACGTATCTACCGCGTTATATGGGGGTCGACTGTACTTGACTGAAGTTCGATAGTTCTAATATTCACCGTTTGAGGCGCCATCTCATGCGATAAAATTTAAAATTGTCTATATTTTAAATTTATTGGCTGGAAAAGCGATAGTATCCGCCCACTTTTTCTTTTTCACCAATTGTTGTTAAAAACGAATTATGCTGTTATTTCTCATATAATCAGCAGAGGACTTTATATAGTTAGAATAATTCTTTATTAATTTTTAAATTTTTTATCAATATTATTGTAATTTTAACAACTCTATACTTTAAATATTTAATTTAATTCATTCTTAAATTTATTTTCTAAAGTTAAAATGAATTAAATAAATAAATTTTATATATTTATAAATAAACATTAATAAGAGGTCATAATTAATGGTTCTTAACATGGTAATCAGTCCATACATATACAATTTGTGCCACATTGTGCTGTTTAGGTTTGTCTGCAGAATATATAATGACATTAATTTT